CAAGTGACTAAAAAGCCGCTCCAGATATACATTGGCGTAAAGCACAAGTGCACGGTTCAAAAGGATGGCGTTTACCGGAAGTAGGCCCAGCAGTGCAACGGAAGGGTATAAAAAGACTCTCTGGCCAATCGGAGCGTCGAGAAACGCATGAAAAACAAATCCAGCAACAAAAGTAAGCAGCATGCCAAACATCCATACTAGTAGGAAAATGCGGTGAACAAGAAACTCCATCCTCTGTGATACAGATTTCGTGTCTGCATCACTCGTATCCATGCGTGGGACCCGTTCATGGTCACTATCCTCTGTCGTATTGTCTTCCTCTTCCTCTAAGCTGTTTTCAAGAATTTGTGAATTTGGGCGCCTTGGTGGCCGCCCCTTATCTTGCAACGGCCGCAACACAATAGCATCCGATTTCAGTGTCATATCCATCACGTCCACAAGCTTGCAAGGACCAACGGGCTCAGTGTAAGGCCATGTGCAAAGCTTTGACCCGTCCAGGCGTTTCGTGCCCCGCATCAAGAGAGATTTAAGGACATGTTTCAAACGTCCAGTGGCTACGTCGATAACAGCCACCATGCGAAATGCCTTTGCCGGCAAAATGGCAGTAGATTCAAGAAACGCAGCCCGCCGTTCATGTGGGCTCTGTCGTGGCATCTTCATCATCCCCATGATACGTCGTCGCCAGCGCACAAGCACGTCACCCATAATATAGGCTGTACGCATTTTCTTCTCCGTGATGCGCGCCCACAGCAGGTACACCTGCACCACCATGCAGAATGCATAGAGGACTGAAAACAACACTGTGCATGTTATGTTCTGTGCGGATGGGTCTATCACACAAGAAATAATAAGCATGACAAATGTGATAGCGACAGGTGCGCCTTGATGAAAAAAGAGGGCCGCAGCGGCGATACGCCCCATTTTGACAGATTCCTGCAGGTTTACCTGACTGGCATCCAGAAGTCCCTGCAGCTGGTCCACAATACGCTGCTCGTACGCACTGCTAGGAAGACTTGTATCCACATGGGCAATGCGTTGCAAAGGCCGTTGGATTTCTTCTTCTTCTTCTTCCTGCGGATAACGTTCCGGTGCATTGGCCTCAACAACAAACTCCCGTTTCTTCCCCCGCATCCGTCAGTCAAAGAACAACAACAACAAAAACAACAATAAAGTAACGGACGCTCAAGGAAAAACACAAAAAGGGATACACAAAAGGACAGACGGAATCGACACGTTTGGCTCACGTCCTGTCAGCGCTTCGGTGCCCGTCCGGTCACGCAGGCAACTACACCACCACCACCCTAAGGGCCCTTCACTTAAGTTACAAAAAAAAAAAAAAACAACCTGATGTAGATTCCCCTCAAAACATAAAAAGAAAGATGGAAAAAAAAGATCAAAAATAAAAATAAAAATAAATGAAACCAGAGGCATATCGCAGACGGAAGTAAATGAATATTGTGTCAGCCATTACACCACCCTATTCTGTGTTTATTATTTTTTTTCTTTTCATGCACACCCTCGTGCAAATGCATGAGAAGGTTCTCAAGTATTAGTAGTAGTAGTCTTACAGCCACACCCTTCTCTTAAAACTCCTCAAGTAAACACATAAAAAGCAAAATTCAAAAAAAAAAAAAAAGAAAGAGAAGTCCTTTTGTTATGCGCCTCACTTTTCAGGCGTACGCCTTCTGCAGTCGTTCTCGAAGTGCGTTGTAAGACACCGGAGAGCAAACCGCTGCACTTTTATCAGTCATCACCACCGCCTCGTCCACATCGAAATTACGGTTCCCCGTTACCGGTGCAAGAATAGAAAGCAGCAACTTTTCCATCCAAATCGTGTCCTTCGATGCTGACGTTAAATCGACCGCTGGCTGCAGAAGTGATAACTCGTCAGTGTTCTCCGGCATGACACCATCTTCGTCAGCGTTGCCGTGGGAGTCAGAGGCATCTGCCACAGACATCGAATTGGCCATTATTCGTTTCGGTGCATTGCCGTTCGATACTCTGCTACTGTTGTTGTTGTCGCAGCCATTTAACGTCAATCCATGTTGACGGGAAAGCCTTCTTGCGGTTTCACGCAGTTCCTCCAAACGAAAATGACGCAAAAGACTTCGTCCAGACAAACGCCACAACTCCTGCCAAAGCAGCTTCATGTGCTCCACGTATATGGCACCCTTTTCTTCACCCATCACTCTCATGGCATCCATGCCAATACCATCTGTATCACTTGGTGCCTCCATTGAAAAAACAACAGACTGAAGGCGCGCTACAACTTCAAGTAGCCGGTCCGCCAGAAGCAACCAGCATGACACCACCGCATCACCTGAAAGCGGGGAAGGGTCACCCAATTCGCACAGAGGCAACTTCTCCAATACGCCTCGGCATCGCTGCAGCTTCATTTCGTAAATGCTCGTATTGTGTTCGATAATTGCCGCATGCGTCTTCAGCCGGTCAATAACTGTGTCCAGTTGGTCCATCCGTTCTTCAACGAGACGCATGTGAGATGCGGTGTCGGTGCGATTGCTACCGCGATGGCCACCACCACCACTGTGATTTCCTTCAGCCTCTAAAGCGTACCAATCATGCAAAAGAAAAAGACGCTCCTGCACGTACCGCTCACGTAGCCCGCCAAGCAAAAATTGACGATACCGCGACAAATCGGCATAACGTTCCATGCGCAAATAAAGCCCTCGCTTCAGGCGAGAAATAAAAAAAACATGGTTGGCCCATTTAGAAAACGCAATAACGCACGCCCGTATGTTGCGAGTACGGTGTAAATACGCAAGTTCATGGGTGTTCGCCACCGACGTTACCCTTTTCAGAGGTCTTAAACTCTCCTTTACTGCCGCAATTTTCTCCTCCAGTAGGTGTACCTCATCCATCATCATCATCTCATTTAACCCATCGACCTCCGACGACTGACGGCGCGCTCGATCTCTTTGCAGCCTCGCCTCCTTCGCTGCCAAAAGTGGTTGGAGAACGTTTTCCTCAGTCTCCATGGATGCCCGTTCGGTCATCAACGCGGCGCGAACGCGTCGTCCCTCCGCTTCGACAGCCGACGTGCGTTGCATGAGTCTCTCCGTTAACCTCAAAGCGGATGACAACTCCGCATGCACAATGGCATTGCGTTCGCGCTGCTTGACGCTCTTCTCGAGTAACCCACGCAACGCTGAAATGATCACCCGAGTACTATCAACGGTGGACTGCATCTCAGCTTGTATCGTGTGTATTGCTCGCATGGTTTTACCTCGCCGTGGTGAAGCAAAGACGGAGCAATTCATCCCTTCGTTCTCATGCCTTGCACTTCCTTTTTCATCCTTTTCCTCATCCCCCTCCTCCTCTGCTTCCTTCAAGGCCTGTTGCACTAATGCTATCTGCACTTCATGCCTCGAGTGGAATTGGAAAGACTCCTGCAGGAAGCCCTGTTCCTTCGCCGACACCTCTGCCCGCAACGTTGCCACATGCTCGCGGCTCGCCTTATTGCCCTCGCGCTTAAAAGCCAAGGCCCCCGCCTGCATTCGCAGCCGCTCGACCGCAGTTTCCAGCTGCCGAACACCGGACTGGAGAACCTTCACGCGCTGCTGGTTCTCCTCCATCTTGGCGTTGAATCGCGCAATTTCTTCGTGCTCTCGCCGCAGATCAGCTTCCCGCTGCAGCCTCTCCTGTCGTTCGCGCTCCGCCTCCACGCGTTCCTCCAGTGTCAACTCAGGCTCCTCACCGTCATAACCCGGTGGACGCTTGTACTGCGACTTTTTCGTCATGCGATTCACATAAAAAATACGACCCGTTCGCGGATGTCGTTTAAATCCCCAGACGGCACCGTGAGCCCCCGCCGCATGACCGCCACTCCGACCACTTATCGGCGAAGCAATGGATGAATCGTAAACTTTGTGCAATGAAGGAGACTCAAGAGGGGAACGTAAAGGTGAAATAAAAGAACTGCATTTTTGACGCTCATAAATATTCGCTTCCGTTACATGGCCCAGCTCACAAAACTCACCAATGCACGCACGGGCAATTGCATCCCTAATTTCCGTTATCTGAGTGATACAAATATTGGGCTCACTGCTGCTCCCGTCCACCAAAAAAAAAGCCTTTGCTTGCAACATCCTCGCAACAATTGCAATCTCACCCGGTTGAATACTCATGGCGGCACCGCTCTTATCAACATGCGTCAGCCCAACAAGGATCACAGTTGGAGCGCGATTTAGGTTCACCAGCTTCGGTGCCCACTCCGCCTGTATGCTCTGCATAAAATCCACAGAAGACATAAGGAATACAAACACCACCACCGTCGGTGCCTCTTCTTCTCCCATCATTTCGGATGGCGCATACGCTGCCTGCAGAACAACGCGAATTTTTAACTCCGGCAGTGAGGGGTGCGGCAGCTCTAATACCCGTCGCGGCGGAACAGAACCTGTTGCTGGAAGTGTCGACGATAATGATTTCAATAAAAACTGATGCTGTTGCTCTTCTTCTTGTTGTTGGGCTCTTTGCACGTGGGAAGGTGGAGCATCAGCCAGCAAATACACTAAACCATCCACTCCGCCAGCGGCATCACCGGCAACCACACAATTGTACTCCATTGACGGCCAGCACCGCCCCTATTGCGCTTCTCTTTCACCGTTGCAAAAGAATAAGAAATAAAAATAAAAATAAATGACAGTTCCAAGCGGATAAAAAAAAAAAAAAAGGCAAACACTCCCGGAAGATCACCGGTGGGCTCAAAAACACCCGTTCTATCGCCTTGCACCCACACACACTTCCACCGACTTTCCACCCCTTTCCTTTCAGTACTTTCAGAAACAGGTGCGTAAACCCGCACAAAACGTGCCACCGAACAGAAAAAGAAAGCAAGAAAAAACAAGAGACAATAAAAAAAGATGCGTTGTGAAGTAAGTAAACATGAGAGCAAAAAGAAAAACTTGGGCCCAATCGCAAAAAAAAAAAAGGAGACGTTATGCAGACAGACATCACCCCAACACCCTGTTTTGTCCCTCATCGCCCTTCGCCTCTTCGCCCCTCTCCTCCGCACTTCATGCCAAATCAAAAAGAGGTACCTGTTGCTTCGTTGCTGTTGCCTCGCAGCAACGCCCACACATTCTAATTTATTTGTTCTCGTTCATAATCTCATTCCATTTCCATCAAATGAACGCTTAAAATTGGCTGCTGTTTTTTTTTCTCCCTTGCTCCAAAAAAGGTTTGTTTGAATATACATGTTTATATATATATATATGGATGAATGCAAATTCAAAAAAAAAAAATTAATTGCTTTTTTTCGTGGTTGTTATTTTTGAACTTTTTTTTTTTTGCGCTCATCCGCTCGTTCTTTTATTTCTTCGTCCACCCTCCCTTCTCCTCCTTCGCTTATGTGATATGTATGGCAGCGTCACCGTCGGCACGCCCTCATCCTCCTCCTTCTTCTCCTCCCTTCACTCACTCACCAAATCCCTTCTTACAGCGGTGGAGGAGTCAAAGAACGCGTGTTCGAGTCGTCCTTGTGATACCGAAGTAGCCGGTTTGGTCGGTACGTAGTTGTGGAAAACTTCTCGGAGACAAAAGGATGATCCGATGGAACAGGCTCAACTGCATCAGCGCGCGGCTGCGGCTGCGGGATCAAAGACTCCCGTTTTTTCGCACTGCGTGTAACAACTGTTGTGGTGCTTGCCTGAATCACTACGTTGACGCTGTCTTCATGGATGATGCGTGGTCGAGAACGAACTGTTGACGCAACGGATCGTGTATCCATGTGCTGCAGAGTTGTTGTATTTAAGTTCATAACCGACGTCGAAATGGTGGAATTCTCAAGCGGTGGTGGTCGACTCACACTACGCCGCGATGCTAGCAATAATGCCGGATTACTATCCCTCTGCGTTGACTCATCCGCATACTGAGCATTTGAAATGGAACTTGTATTATTCCGCTTCGGTGTGGACTGTCGATCACGGTTGACATTTTTGGATACCGATTTCCTTCGTGTGGCACTACCCTGACGCGCGGATGATGGCGCTGACATTTCCTTACCTCCTCTCCGACTACTTGTCTTCACGGAGGGTATTGCGACCGACGCCCCCGTCTTGCGAGTGATTAACGAGGCACGTCGTGGTGTTGCATTCACTGAGGAGACACCCAAACGATGGTAATGATGGTGATTTTGTTGTTCTTCGTTCTGAAGGAAGGCATGGCTATGGATTTGTTCGAGAGCGTTACTGTTTTTCGTCGTGGAAGGTCCACTTTTCCGCGGATTGTGCGGCGAAAGAGACAAATCCGACTTCGACGACTTTTCTTGCTTCAGAGAGAGACTGGAAGGCGTTGTTTCCTGAGGAACCGATGCACGATTTTTTTGCGCCAGGGGCTCCGAGCCGGCACCCCCGGGAGGGTGCTCCGTTTCTGAGCGTGCCCGTGTGAGGGATGTGACACGATATACCACAGAGGGCGCCTCGACCTTGCTAATCGGTTTTTCACGCATCCGACTGTTAGGCTCGTGATTTTTACCACTGCCGCCTTCATTATTTCCCTTCTCGGTGTTGCTTTTACTAGTGTAGAAATGATGCTTGTCGGCAGCAGGAGCAATGGTATTGGTGGTGGTGGTCGGTGCGTGGATGGTGCCACCCGTACTCTCCTCCGCGGACTCCAATTTGGAGCGTCGAATCATTTCGTCCGCCATAATGCGCTCTAACTGACGAATGCGACTTTCTTTTTGTTCCACTTCACGGCTGCATCGCTCCAATGCATTGGATCTTTCCGCCAGACGCTCCTCCAATTCTCGTGTGTATTCCTTCAGTAAATCCAGCTCCTCCTTCAGTTCCGTCACCAACTGCTCCATGTGCATCGGGCCACCTCTCGGAACATCGTACCGCAGCAATTCTTCCCCCCTCGGAATTCCCGCTGCAGAATCCCTCCTTGTGGCAGCTGCATCCCCTGCTGTAATTGACGCCAGTCGCATGTTCTCCGCCCGAAGTACCTTGACCTCCTCTTCCAACGACACAAGGCGCTGTTCGACAACGATGTTTTTCCTCTTCTCCCGTGCCAGTTCTAACTGGAGAGTCGCCACGCCATTCTCACTGCCCGCCGTACTCAACTCCCGGACGGTTTCTTCAAAAAAGGCAGCACTGCCGGCTTTCGGCACCCCATGTCCCTCATCCAGCGCGTTCCACGATGGGGGATTACTCACAACCAAACTATTCGCAGCTGCCGTATCCGCTGAAACACTATTTCCTAATGGACGAGTCGCGTGGAGGTCCAGTATTGGCACCAATGAGACCGCAGCGTTCTCTGCGTTGTAAAGTCTACAAACGGCGTTCTCATGGTCGGCGCCTTCCACTCCCTCCTCCGCCCCTGCTTTTGTGCGCACCGCATCTCCGTCCTTTTCCTGGCCACTGCCTTCGTGCTGATGCAGGCTTGCACCCCTCCCTTCCAGGTGTCCTGAATGGCGGGATTTCACACGAGTTCGCTCACCGGATCCGCCCGGTGTATTAGGCAAGTTACTAGAGCCGGGGGTATTCTCCAAGATGGGCGTGGCATCCATGTTTTGTACTCTATTCCGCGCCTCTTGGCGCATGCTCTCCCACTGGGATCGACGGGACATTGGGGTTCGCCTTGATTAGGGGACGGGAAGAATTATATATATATATATATATCGCGCAAATATGTGCAGGAAATTATACAAAAATTGAAAGTGCTCTCTTTCAATTCCTTATGTTCTCGTTTATTCTGTTGTCACTTAAAGTCTACTGCCTTCAGTGACGGCCTTTTACGTTCTATTGTTTTTATTTGTATTTGTGTCCCCTTTGCTTGGGTCCTTCCCCAGCTCCCCTATTTATTTCACTCCTTCTTTAGTCCGCCTCGCGGTAACCAAGAATGGCACGCAAATAATAATAGTAATAATATAATAATAATATATATATTATATTATGTACACTTTATGCGGTGCAGTAAACAAGATAAAAAAACAAAATAAAATAAAATATTCCTCTTGCCACCACTCATACAGATATACAAACACACACACACATATATATAGATATAGATATATATACGCAGTCGGAAGGCATCGTGTCTTCCTTTCAGTGGCGGGGACATCACACAATGAATGGGGAATGCATCCTTCACATTTCCGCACAACATTTACACAAACACACGCATTTAAATAAAGAGAGAGAAAAACAAAAAAAAAAAGAAGTAATTTCTAGACGGGAGGGGTTTATTACCAAAAGGTGCCGTCCGGGGCATGCAAAAAAAAAAAAAAAACACGACGTACAGCCATTTTCTGCTACCGTAACTGAAGAGATTCCAAAAATAAATAAATAACATTTATATCGGTGCATTTATGGAGACCCCTCCGTTTTATTTTTTTTTTAATGCGTTTTTCCTTTTTCTTTGCTTCTCTTATTTTTTATTTTTATTTTTTTTACTTCGTTTTTATTTTACGTCTCACTCCGTTTTTTCTTTCTTTTTTTTTTTTCTTTTTTTTTTTTCATTTCTGCGACCGTCATCCCGCTGGTGAGCGACGTGAAAAAAATAAAAAAAAAGAACCCCAATCCTTCTTTTTTTCTTCTTGCCTTTGCCTCTTTTTTTTTTATCTTAACGTGAGCCGCTACGCATCCACGTGCGCGGCCACAAAAGAGAGACCCGTAAATGAAGAAGGAGAGAACCGAGAGGGACACGCATGTTTAAATGGAGCTCTCGATGGAGTGAAGCACAATATCCGCGTTCTTTCCCGTCGTTTCAACGAGATCACCGTTCATTGCGTCGCTCCCTGTGGCCCGCACCATCGCCTCCGCCTCGCTGATGCCCCACGCCGCCATGTGTCGCCGGCACAACCGCCGTGCACACGTCGCTGCCGGGCAGGCCTGAAACACGCCCATGTCGAAGCAGCGGTTCACCTCCGCCCACGTCGGTGTGCCGCGGTAGAGGAGATAATTCCCCTCCACAATCACAATGGCCGCAGAGCCGGAGACGCAAATGTCACGCTCCTTCGGATCACCCACGCTGTGGTCAAAGGACGGCACAAAGACATCATCGTAAAGCGGTGCTCCCTTCTTGTCGGCAGTCTCAGAAGGTAAACGAATGGCCTGTAGGTCGCGGCACAACTTGCGTGCGTCAAACGTCCACTCCGCCCCACGTCGCGCGATCGCCTCCTCGCGGTTTGGCATCGCATGCAGAGTTTTGCGGTAGAGGTGGTAGCCATCCATTGGCATCACAACAACCGCATTCTCCGCATGATCGCGGGGATCGCTGGAGACTTTGCGCAGCAGCTCCCGCGCCTCCTCCGCGAGGATATTCGCAATGGTTGTCTTGCCGCTGCCCGGACGGCCGGCGACGCAGACAAGCAACCGGCGCTGTGGAGTCTTCTGGTAGCGCGACACGATGGCACACACCGCCCCCCGCAGTTCCTCCGCATTCACCACTCCACGATTTGTCATTGAACTGTCGTGTAAATTTAAAAATTTTCAAATATCCTCCTTGTTCCTTTCGGTGTATATTTGGGTGTAAAGACTTCGCTGCCGCCGCAGGGGAAGAAAGCACGGCCCCGCATACACACACGCAGTCGCAGAAGGCAGGGGGGAGAGAGATGGATATGTGCATGTCACACAAGAGGGAAGGGAAAAAGGAAAAAAACATAAACGAGGCAAAGAATGACCGTCGCACAAAGACACACACACACACAGAGAGAGGGAAAAAAAGACAGCAAAAAAAAAAAAAGAGGGGGGGGGGGGGGGGCACACATGCCAGAAATCCGTACACGATGCCCCTGTTTACACGTGACAGGAAAAAAAAACACAAAAACAAACAAAAAAAAAAACAATGCATGAATAAAGTTAGTCAGAGTGGAAAAAAAAAAAAAATAGATAAGACATCCCAAAGGTGCCTTTTTTTTCCCTTCTTTCTTTCCTTTTTTTTTTTTTTTACTTTCAGCACTCGGTCACTCCGGTTGTTTCTTTCGGTTCCTTTCACTAATTCTCCACTAGCCCTTCTGTCTGCCTTGCACGCCTCCCAGAGTTTAAACACCCACAAAAAAAAAAAGCACGGGCTTTCTCAATACCGCCGCTACGCATGCAACAGAAAAACAAAAAAAAAAGCGGTTGGTTCAATGCGCATTGACATTTACCGACGAATTACACGGGATCTTCTAAGCCGTCTTCATCTCGGGAGTTGCGTGGGGCTCACACTTCTTCGATTCCCCAAACGGGGCGGTGTCGCTACCGGTGGGGAGTTGGCTCTTCTCGTTGTCCTCCGCAGGCAATGATACCTCCTCCGTCGATGATCGTCGGTACTGTTTCCGTTTGCCCGGCTTCACCCGTGGAAGGATTGCCACACCGCCACGCACAAGACTAATTGAGGCAAACGCTGCCATGAACATCACGTACATTGCAGATATCTGTTGCACATTACTCGCATACTCTTTTCGCTTCAAAAGCTCTGCCGATGGCAGCTCTCCAGGTGCAAGTTTTTCAAATTCCTCCGCGACAAGTGTGGCAGCCAATGCGCCGAGTGAAGCCTGCGCTGAGGCTTTTCCAGAGTACCCCGCACACACAAGCAACTTCTCTTTAAAAGTCATGCCAGCGCCAAGCTGAGCCGCAAATGTCACCAGCAACCGCACAGCAGTACTGCAGACGAGACACACCACAGCCATGGGGAAAAAGTCCCCATTAAAGATGGAGAGGATTCTGATCTTTGATCCCATCAGAGCAAATAAAAAGGGCATCATCACCTGGTCCCAGACAAAAGCCAACCATGAGCCAATATATTTCTTCTGCTCCTCCAGCTCTGAATTGCCGTCCTTTAGGCACAAGTGAGTTACAGTGCTTGCAAAGAAGACACACATGGTGCAGCCGCCCGCGGCAAGGTTGAGCGCGTACCCAAAAAACACCATGGCAAAACAAAGTAAAAGAAAAACAAAGGCGGCAAAGTCCAGGGTGCCGTAGAAATGTTCCTTTTGATACCTCCCATTCGGCAGACGCTCCGCCTCGCGTTTAAGAATCTCCACAAAGTACATGAAAAGCACGCCAATAAAAATGCCGATAATGATGCCGCCAATAAACTGAACTGGGCCCAGCACAATTGCCACAGCAAGCTTCTGGTCATGGAAGAGAAGACCCATAATAAAATTTGCAGCCCAGACCCCAAGCACAATTTCCATTCCAACTGCAGAAAGCATAAGGGAAATCGGCTTAGAGCTATGACCGTATCCCATCTCGTGAAGATATAGTGTTCCAGGAACCACCACAGCGGGAGACACGATGGAAGAAATAATCCCCTGTAGAAAGGCCCACTTATAATCGCCGTTGTAGTTAAATAGTTTATTGGCAATGAGGCTGTGTGCAACAGCCTCACAAGCAAAGGGAAGCGTTGCTAACATAATACTTTGCTTCCAGTGCGATTGAATGCCCCTAATTGTAAGGGAGAAACCAGCACGTGCCATGATAACCGTCAAACCCATTTTTGATGAGATATCCTTAAGCGGTAATACAATACCTGTCGTTAGGTAATGCTCATAAGGGATGTTGTTCCACATAATCGCAATCCACAGCACCCCGACAAGTGGAGGAATCTGCAAAACTCGACATATTAAACCCCCAACAACGGCAGAAACAATAACGATGACAGCCGGATCCCACACGTAGCCACCGGGTTCCACTAACCAATGAGGTAAAATGTTCCACAGTGCAAACCAACACAAAACAATCACAGCTATGCGCAGAAAGATGTTGATAACCGGTAACACCAGGCAGCGACCCCAAATCGTCACGGACAGTCTGCCATACGTGTCACATCGAATGCCCCAGTAACATTCTCCCTCTTCCACCTCTTTGATCTGTGGCAAAAACCAGTTGCTCCCTGTGTACGGTAGTAAAGAGTAGACATCGCGCTTGGCAGAGTTCTCCGTGAAGTCCGCAATCATGACAAGGTCCGTCTCGTTCAAGTCGTTAATCCTGCAAGCCAATGAGTGAAGATGCTCCGGTACCGCACTAAGAGAGACCGTGTTTATTTCAATTTCTGGGCTGGCCGCCTCATCCTGCAAGTTGTCCCTCGCGGATTCTCGTTGAAACTCCGCCAAGCCCACCGCGTCCCTGCCATCCCCCTCGTCGGAGTGTCCCCGTTCCTGCAGCTCAAAGGCAGACGGAACCCGGTCCTTTTCCTTGTCAATTGGGTCTGACATGTTCCCTCTCTCTTCCCACTCTCACTCTGCCCTTCCCGTCTCTCTCTATCTTTCTAAAGATATCCGCACAAAATAAATAAATAAATAAAATTTTGAGACTGTACGCGTTAATATCCTTCTTTTAAAATAAATCACAAACAGAAGCGTGTGATGGCTACACTCTATATGTATGTATATTTATATATTATTTGTGTGTGTGCCCCTGACTTTCCCTTTGGTCCCTCCCGTCCAACAACACACACACACACACACACACACACGCAAACCAAAAGAAAAAACGATGGCAAGAGCCCAACACTATTTTCCTTTTCTTTCCTTTAATCTCGTCTCTGTGCCTAATTGTGCGTTTCAAATCACGTAAATCAACAAACAGACGGTATGGATGTAAAGTCAGTGTAAAATAAATCAGCAGATAAAAGCCCCACCCAAAAAAAAAAGGGGGGGGGGAAGTCCATTCACAAACAGACTCAACTACAGACAATTCCTCTCATATTTATATAAATACAGGCACATAAATGTATATGTACTGTACGCTGCAATGCCATTGTGTTCCCCCCTCTATATGTTTCTACGTGTGCCTGAGATCATTTCCCCTTTCTCTCTCTCCATCTCTCTCTCTCTCTTTATATATATATATATACCTTCTTCCTTCCTTCCGCTAAGTGTATTACCCGTCCATGATGAATACGCAGAAGGCCACATGGACGTACAAGCCATCAATTGCAGAGAACACACACACACACAGACAGAGGTATACATATATTATATTATATTATCATGTATACATGCGACATACACGGGATGACATGTGACAACGTCTTGTGGGACAAAAAAAAAAAAAAAAAGACTAGTACTTTCACTATTTATAATTACTGTAACTGTAATTCACCCCCTAACCCCATACTTATCCCTACACCCACCCACCCCACTCCGCCCAAATAATTGATAATAAAAGCCGCCCATCCGTTCCTCTACAATCCCTAATGATCCCTAAACCCTAACTCCGCTATCTTTTCCCTCCCCCTGCACCGCCCTCCTTTTTTTTTTTTTACGGAAAAGAAAAAACCAAAACAAAACATAAGTTGATGAATTATGAGAGATGTACCGCTGAAAAGAAAAAAAGAAAAAAGAAAAAAAAAAACTGGGAATTTTCGGCTCCCTCTCTCGCACATCCCGCAAACATTTACATTACATAGACAAATATATCGGTTTATAATGTAACTGCCCTTTCTGCCTGCATGCCTCCTCCATTTTTTTTTTCTTTTCAAACCCGCATACGCTCCCAGGGCCGAAAAAAAAACACAAATGGACAAGAAGAAAAAAAGAAAAAAAAAATCAACAAAAAAATGGGTAAAAAGAAGAAAAGGAAAAAAAGACAGCAAAAACAAATAAATTCTCCTTAGAGACATACAGCCATACGTACATACATGCATTCTCTCTCTCTCTTTCTCTCTCTCTCTCTCTTCCTTGAAGAAAAAGGGATTAAATTCATACACACACAAACACACACACAGATATATAAATAAATATATAAATATATATATATATATATATATATATATAGTTATAATACATGGATATACACTTATAACTTTACAATGTGTTTTCTATACCATCAGAATAAACAACAACCGTAATCATGATAGCAGTCATGCCTGTAGAGCAAACACCTTCACAGTTTTACCACCACCACCACCACCACCACCAGCAGTAGCAGCGGCCGTCCCTCTGTGACCACTCCCCACCCACCCCTTGATCACATGTAAAAAGGGGGGATGCGTCTGCGTCTACCAGAACGCCCATTTACTGGTAATGTATATTGTACATATTTGCAGTTATGCACGTCTGTGTGTCTGTGAGAAAGGAAGGGACAACAACAACAACAACAACAACAACAGCAAAGAAAAAAAAGAAAAAAAAAAGACAACGTCAAACCCAACAAACACCAACAAACTGCAAAGGACCGTAACACTCAACAACAAAAGCAAAAACAACAAAAACCGTTTCTTTTTTCTCTTTTTTTTTTTTCATTTTTCTAGGAAAAAAGGGGTTTTTGTTGCGTTAAAAGCAGAATCAACCGACGCGCGTAAAGCAAAAGAAAGAAAAAAAAAAAAAAAAAAGACGTCGACAACTACATACATACGCATGCACACACAAAAAAAACAAAACAAAAACAAAAAACACACAAAAGTGAGAACCCACAAAACTTAATAAATTAAAAGGACAGAATAAAGAATGCGTATGGGAAGTATAAGAAAAGAATAAAACAAAATAAAAAGAAGAAAAGGAGAGAGAAAGAGAGAGAAAGAGGGAAAGAATTATTTCACGCCCCCCAATCGCCTCCTTTTTTCCATTTTTTTTTTCTTTTTATTTCTTTTCTTCCTTTCTTTCTTTATTCTTACACTTCTCCCCTTACACACACATATATATATATTCTGATCTTTCGGTTTATTTCCTCTTGTTTTTTTGATTCCTCGCTTCTTCTGTCGGTTGTTTGGGTGTTTTGTTGTTGTTGTTGTTTTGTGTGTGTGTGTGTGTGGGTAGAGACGTGGGCAGTGGGAAATATTTCTCCCACATCATCCCCTCCGGCCAATTACAGCATAAACACAAGAATGCCATGCAGCGCACATGTTACAAGCGCCTCCATTTCCCCGAAGATCCGCTCCCCGAGACAGGGCCGACTGTCACTTCCCTCACCTGTCCTTCTACTGCTGCCCCGACGACGACGACGGCGACGACGGTGTCCACTCCGCCGGGTGACATTTTCATTACTGGAAGCCATCATTGCAATAGTCTTGAGGACAAAACGGAGAAATGGCATGCAGAGAAAAAAAGAAACCACGGAGGTTTCCTCCCCACTAGAGTCATTGCTACGGTTGCTGCTGTTTTCACCAGTGGCATCATCCGAATGATGGCTAAAGCTTGGTTCATTCTTACTATTGCCACCCCAACCCTTTGCGTGATTATGTACTGGCATGGTCCCAACAGACATCTCGGGCGAAGGCCCATCGCTGCTCTCGGACGGAATCTTTTCTCTCCAATGCCAAGCACCCATCGGATGCACAACATTACGAAAAAGCGTGTATGTAGCGCCCCCATTACCCATCTCGGAAAGATAAGTAAAGTGAAATGCCAAACAGCTTATAGAAGTGGGACAATAAAAACCAGAACATTTTCTAAACGGCAGTGTGGTACGTCTTCGAAGATTTTTTCCGTATGGGTACTCACGGGATGCAAATGGCATAGAGTTATATAGGCCAAATTGATCAATTTCATCATTTGATTCACCACTTTGGAAGCCGTCCATATTTTTCCGGTTTATCAATGAATTGTTAGAAAAGGAATGCTCGGATGCGACAAGATCGCAAAGGTCATTTCCTGACTGCAATTGAGATTGCTTAGTGGAGAGGATAGACCATCCTGAGGAAAAGTCTTCCTGGTGATGCACTCCACATGTTAAATTTGAACCGGCCGATGATGACCGTATGGTTTGATTTGCCGTAGACACCGCTGGTGGAACGATGGCTGAAGAGGACTCATCAAAAAAAGTGCGCGGAGACTCAATGTGACTTGGGTCTACCAGTACCCACGTATTCAATGAGGAAAAGACCGATGTCGATGGCAAGACAGGCGTCGAGAATTGCGGCGGCGATGGACATGGCGTATATTCCCCTGTCGTAAGAGTCAACATGGATCGTCCCGGGGGATTTTTCCAATCCAATGATGTTGGTAGACGTATGGCGGTGTGTTTTAATCGTATGGAGAAACAATATTTGTGCTTCCCTTCCAAAACTACAAAAATTAAAGCAGCTACACACTCTGAGATTGAGCCCCTTTAAATATCAAACTGCTTGGCAAAAAAAAAAAAAGAATGACCCACACCATTACAAACGAGAATTTCAAACAACATTTTAAAAACATGATATATTCATATATACATACATACATATACATATAAACCTTTTTGTTTTTGCACTTTTTAAAGGGCTGAGAAGCAATGGGTGATGCGCAATATCACAAAGTAAAATGAATGGGATTCGTTCCCCCCAACCCCCCAGTCCTGCCTCACCTCAGGCGATAGACGTTTGTAACTGTCAAAGAGCAAATCAGCTCATTTCAAAAGGTGATAAGACTCCATCTCCCATCTAGTTTCATGCATATAACTTCTGTTCTCTTCCAATGTATCACCACCTTAATGATAGAATCATAATCATTGTACCTTCTACCCTCTCCAACGACATGTGCAACAATGCTGCATCTGACGTTTTTTGCAGCGCAGGTTCATCTGCCCAGCTTCACAAAATGTATATGTGTAAATAGCATCCTTCACAAACCACACCCCGCTAAGGGTTCGGCGTTACACGAGACTCCTCCTCCCGCTGCCGCTCCACCTCCTGTCGAAGGCTGCGAATTTCACCCATAAGCCGTCGCCGCTCCACTGGATCTGGGTTCGGAGAACGTAGATGGTGGCTGAGCTCGACGGCAAGCTGACGCAGCCGCTGAAGATCAGACTGGTAAGGCTGAGCATTGATCGAGGATCGCATGTAGGGTGCTAAAGCTTGTCGCACGTCCTCGCGCAGTGAGGGAGAGAAAAACTGCGATCCCGTGGCAGCACCAATTCCGGTATTTGAGCCTTGAATGGCTGAGTAATTCGAAACAAATTCATGCGGCAAAGAGGACGGCGGTGGCGGCGTCAGTGGCGGTGTGGGGCGTGGCGGTGACAGAAGTCGAGACGAAAGAGGAACATCGCGATGAGTCCGCAGTGCGCCTGCCTCCGATGCCGGAGGAACCCCCGGAGTTCGTTGCGGGTGCTGCTCGGCGTAAGAACCAAAAAAGGAAGATGCAACAGGTCTAACTGGTGGTGTTCGTTTCACTTCGCTAATCTTCGCTCTCTCAAGGGAACGCAGAAGTTCCTGCTCCTTTTCCCGCTGTGCTTCTATTTCTATTTTCAACCGATCGACACGCTCCTGCAGTGCCTCCCGCCTCACGACGTTCATCTTTACTTCGTCTATACGTTGATGGAACTCCGCCACCTCATTTTCCAGGGTACGGCGTGCTGTTTCCTGTCGTGTCACAACGGAGGTGGTGTCCCGCGCAAGTTTAGCCGTCAGCCGGACGTATGCGGTGGCCTCCGCCTCAACAGCACAAAGCCACTCATGCCGCGAGGGCGGTTTGCTTAACTGAACCGACCAATGTGGCTCCCGTGGTGGTTGCTGCTGGTAGTGTTGTTGACGGGCAGTGAGTATCGACCTCTCCGCTGCCACCACCATCTCCCGGACACGCAAGAGGTCTTTTTTGTAGTCTCCATGCGCCTCGTTGTTTCCCTCAATGTTGGTTGGGGCCAATAACTCGTTAGAAAGATCGTCAAACTGCAGTTTGCGGTGAAGAAGATACACCGAAAGACCCTCCGTCGCTGCCTGATCGCCACTGCCGTCAGAATTCTCTTTTCCTGACGTTCCACGAGAGACGCCACGCAGTGGCAATGGAGCCCGCACTCTCTTCACAATACGAAATGTGGCAACACGATGGAGACCACAGCGATAATTCAGATTGTAAAAGGCCTCCACCTCCGGGGCATTGAAGATAACATCCGCCCCCGAAAGCATCCTACGACTGTCATCCTCCTCCTCCCCTTCTACGTGTAATTCGGCACCGCCCACGCCGTCAACTTCTTGGCCCTTGTGGAGGCTCTCACCGGCATGGGTAGCGCTGCCGTTGCTGGCATTGTTGCAGCTGTTGTCATACAACAAAGCGCATTGACCCCGTGGGATCGCCAGGCGTAGTCCCATGCCAGCCAGCGCCTCCACAAGGTCGTCTAGCACAGTGTCAACGGTGGTGTCAAAGACAAACGCAAACTCCACATTAAGGCGCTCTTGTCGAAAGCGATCATCCAAAGCGTCTACGAGGAGGTTCCCGATCAGCTGCTCCCCTTTCGACATCCCTCCCTCCACCTGGCTACCCGCCATGTAAATACTTCACCAGCGCATCAAGGAGCAAAAAAAAAAAAAAAATTGATGCAAGCAACGGAAAATTTTAAAGAAGAAGAATGGGAAAATAACACAAGAGATCGGAAAGCCAAGAATTAAAAAGAAATTCCTTTTGTATGCGCGGATAATGTGGATCGAACAACCTACATATAAAAAGGGAAAAAGACATTGTTGTTTCTCGTCTATTTTTGGGCAAACAAAAAAAAAGAATATCTTTTTATTCTAATGACTTCCATCATTCTTTCTACATGTTCGGCTATCCCTCCATACATATATATATATATGTCATATTAAGGCCCCCTCTTCCCAAAGACTGGATAAAAGAAGCAGTAACGTCTATGCGGCGTATAAAGCCCGAATAAGTTTCTCTTGTCTCGCATGACCATCCGCCAAGTCCTTTTCAAGCCAAGTGAGAAGCGTTTCTAGCCGCTGACAATCACGCTCTGCACTTATGCATTCAGTCCACTCCTCCATTAGTACCGCCTTCTTCTTGCAAAGCCCTTCATACGTGGCATCATGCATTGACTTGAGAAGAACCGTCTTGTGGTTTCTTCGTGCCTCATCCATGGAAAAATGAGCAGAAGCAAGACGTAGACGTGCAGTGTCCTCCTCATTACGCATGTTCTCTACTTTGGTGCTTGCTGACGGCCCCGCAAGCGATGTGGGCCTCGTGCGCAGAATCGACAGACGTTCTCGTGGCGAAAAGGATGGCGTAGGATGAAGGCTTCCGAGCTGTCGAAGTGTCGCGGCACTGGTGGCCAGAGCCCATGGGGAGTCATGGTCGCCGACAGCTGCTACTACCTCCACAGCCTCGTCCCGTGTCTCCTTCAGCATCAATCCAGGTCCCTTCTGTGTAGCCTCCAGAGGATCGGGTGAGGAAGATGCTAAAATCCGTGTGTCTACAGCAAGATAAAACCGCGCACTCACATTCTTGAGTAATTTTCGAAGATCACTATCAGTGACTACAGGTTGGATGTTCTTATTGCCAAGGTTGCACATCAATCTCATGTTGGACGACTGAAAGAGACATCCAACCTGTGCGCCGATGACCTCGCAAGCCTCAGACATTACCGCCTGGAGCGACGGTGCATCTGTCCGTCTCACCTTCGCTTCGTATGTTTGTCCAGCAAAGTCTATATATTGTACAGAAACAGAAGTATTTCTGCCCGCGTGAGTCTCTTCTGTGGCAGAGCCACGTGTCTCCTCTGGAGCAGTGCCAATGAGGGAGAGGGAAGCAATGTTCGGGGAACTGGAACCTGCATGGACACGTGGTGCGACATCTGCAACGGCGGTCTCCGACAACGCCGATGGTGCGGGATCGTCGATAAGAGGGTCACTGCTTAGCTCCGGCGTCACCTCTACCATCTCGCAAAAGGAAAACGGTTGTTCATTCACTCCGGAAGCCTTGTGGTTGAGTCGCAGCAAATCGGGTACAGGAACCAGGGCTCCTTGCGTGAAGATAAACCTCCGCAGCGATGCACTGGACATGGTTTCCAACGTTTCATGCTTCATGCTCAGCAGCTCCTCAAAAAACGGCATATTGACGATGGGCTTGTCGGCGTCCTCCATGGCCGCAGTACCAAGAAACAAAAACTGGCCGTTAACGTTGCGCATGCAAAGGGCCAGTTGGGAATGGTACGAAGCATGCATCTCAAGTTCTGCCGCCATGCGTTCCTCCACACTCCGCCATGCAAAAAGAATAATATCCTTCGGGCTGGTGGTGCGAAAAATGGGAAAGGAAAGCCACAGCTGCGTCTTGCTGCCGTTTGCGCCAACAGCATGTAAACAAAGCCGAAGGATAAGCGGCATGTCACCTTCCTCGCATACAAAAATAATAATAATAATAATAATAATAAATACTGTGCAGTTGCAAATATAGATATATATATCTACAGATGTCCCAACGCAGATCTTTGGCAAAACTATCAGCAGGAAAAGAAAAAAAGCAGCAACAAGAGACATCGTCCAATACAGCATTAAATGTATCCACAGTGAAAAAAAGCAAATCTACATATGAGAAAGAAAAGAAACCACATGTGCCAAAAATAAGCGAGGGCATGTCGCAGATAAATGCACACGTGCACGGTCAAATCTCATTGCAGATACACACACACACACAGCCGTGCTCTCCCTTTTGCGCTCATTATAAATAAATAAATACAAAATAGACGCCAAAAAAAAAAAAAGAATACATATATATCGTTAACAACCCCTCTAAAAAGTAGAAGAAAAAGAAAAAAGTAGGGAATAAACAGTGCAATTTTTCCCAACATCTCCCACACCACCGCATTCATCCATTTCCTACAGTAATTATTTTATTTGTTTGTATCCCAAATAAATTCACCCCTTTCCCCCCTCAACGTATACATACAAAAGCCCACTCATATATATAGATATATATATCCACGCAGCGCATGGCACAAAAGTGCACTAAAGCTTCGCATGATGAACTGCCTGCATTTCTTTTTCCTCAATCACATATCCCCGTATTCGATAAATCTCATCTGCACTCTCATCCGCGGATAACGGGCGTACCACCCAGCCGGCATTTTTCACGGTCATCGCATTAATAACAAGCGGCGCTGCATTTTCGTCTGTCGGGCCCACAAGACGCAGAGCACCATCAAGGTCGAGGCTCTCAATGCGTACGCAACCCTCAACAAGCAGAACACTCCGTGCGCTCACTTTAACGTGTTCAGGGTGCGGGAGAAGTCGTTGTGTGATGTCTTCAACGGAAACCCCCATCGCCATGGCGTCCGCAACAATGATGGGGAACAGCCGCACTTTCAGCCCCGCCCCAAAATCTACATCGTAGGCATCTTTGGGGCGTGTTGGCAAATTCAGTCCGGCAGCCTGCAAACGAAGACGAATGGCCTCATAGAAGCCCTCCTCCCCTGTGGCTGCGCAGTACGCCGCAAGTCCCTGAGCAAACTTCTTGATCCCGTCTTGTAGCCCATTCTTCACCGGTTGATATGTAAAACGACTAAATCGCAAAGCCCCAACGCGATGTTCCTCAGGGCCAAAAAGAAGCGCAATGTCCTGCATAAGTGACTCAATACGACATGGTTTGAATGTTGTCTTGCTGTCGTCTGTATATTTGGGGTTAATAAACTCCGGAACAACGCCACAAAATTCGGTAAGCAGCGGGATGTAATCATCCATGTTCAGAATAAGCGTATTAATGCTTCCAGGGAAATAGGAATAAATGGACCCGGGAGCTGCCCGGTCACCCCCGAGTTCTGTCAATGATGCCGCCAGAGACTCAAAAATGTCGTACTCAACGTTTATTGTCCGCTCAATATTTGAACCAAACATGCGAACCTTACACAGCAGTCCAATCGCCTCCTTGGGTTGACGAGGAATGCACGTGAAATTCATTGCCAGGCGATGTTTGGCACTTATCGCCAGACTAACCGGAATCGTCAATGTGGCAGTAGCGTTTGTATCTTGTAGAAAAACAATGTAAGAATAACCCTGAGACTGCCATAACTCCACAAGCCGCTTCCCGGACGAGCGATCAACAGATCGGTACAGCAATGAGTGTACATCTCCGTGGCCGTGGGGTTTCCGAAGTAACTTCCCATTTTCAATGGCAAGGTGTGCTGTGATATCGTTAAAACAAAAGACTGTCTCTTGCTTCAAAAGATGCACATTTGTCATATTAAGCCCCAAGCCTCGAAGAAGCTTTTCCGTGCGTTCGTGGGTATTATCGGATGTCATAATGACAAAGGGGGCATTCGGTCCTGCGATGTGTTTGATCCACCGAAGATAGTGCTCAAGGTAGCAACGGTTCGTAGCCGTCTCGACAGGCAGACCAATTTTAATCCCAGAGTACCCGAGACGCTCCCCCAGACCCCCCGCTACCAGCACAAAAACACTCTTCTTGACGTAACCCAATCCTTCACGCTCGAGATTCATCAACTCCTCGCTGCGGTCAAAGAGAGAAGGCGCCTCGTACACGTAAGGCGGGAGTTCAAGAGCGGCGTACTCGTGTCGTGTGTTTTTCAACCCCTTGAAAAGACGCTGGGCATTACGCACGTACTGTTCAACGCCACCACTGTAATGGTCTCTGAAGCGAAATAATTCCAGCATCAACCGTCTCTGCTCCTCCGTGTATTCCTCCGCCGACGCAGGCCAACCATTAAACAGGTGGCGCTGGTCCAATTCTGGACTGCTGAGCCGCTCGCGCAGTGCGTCGAGCTCCTCGCACGTCGGTTCTCCTCCGTCAGGCACCATCTTCATTGATAGGCGTCTTTCGCTCCTATAAAGGCTGTTAATGCTTGCAGTGATATAACTCTGTTCCCTTCCCCTCTCCCTTTCTTCTTTTTGTGTGCACTTCTCTTGTTTTTTTGTTTTTGTTTCTCCTCCATCCTTTTTTTTTTCCTTTTATTCATGTGCATTGCCGGGGGGATGAGAGGTGTGTC